CTTGTAGGCATATGGATATTATCCTATCATTGACAGTGTTGTACTTCAGGATAGATCTTGAAATGTTCTTTTTGACAATGAATGTGATGCCATTCCTCTTCAATTTGTCATTCCTGTCATGGTAGACCATATGATTGTCTGATTTCATGCAGCTACTGTAATTTAAATACCCACTTCTCTGTGATTGGTTATTTGGATTATCTGCAGTGCTTCACTACTGTAATAATGCTACAGTAAAGTGGTTTCTTGTCAGCATCTCTGGTTCTTTCCCAGAAGAACTATTGGGTCAAAGGCTATCAACTAAAGACGTCTTGGAGCTTGTGGCTTGTTGCACAACCCCCTTCAGAGAGATTGAAGCAATTGATCTTCCCATGAGTGTCTTTCATAGGGTTGCCATTAAGTCGGAAACCACTGGACAGCAATGGTGGGGGTCGGGGGGTGCGGGGAAGGGAGGGAGGGAGGGGTTGCGTGTCTTTTACTGTGAGCCCTGGTGGCGCAGTGGTTAAGAGCTATGGTGCGCTACCGCTGCTAACAAAAGGTCAGCAGTTCGAATCCACCAGCCACTCCTTGGAAACCCTATGGAGCAGTTCTACTCTGTCCTATGAGTACAAATCAAGTTTGGTTTTTCTTTTACTGCAAGTACTTTCCATACACACTTCTTGTTGCAGAGGCAAACTGCACCAAGAAAGAGCCAGAGAAGAATGCGAAAGCAAGCGCAGGATGGTGGCAGCCGCCATGGCCGTGAGGAACCTGAGTGGGAAGGAGGGTTTCTTCCAGGAGGGAGTCCTAGGGGCAGTGGGCATGGTCTTGGATGGCTGGCTCGTGGTAGGAGCAAGTAGACGCCTGATAATAGGCTCCAGCCGGCAGGGAGTCAGCGGGTGGGGAGACTCGGGCAGGCTGGAGCATGCAGAGCTTCCCCCTAGGTCCTCAGGAGCCGCCTTGATTCTTGAGTGCAGAAGGAATGCAGTGAAGCAGGATTTGAGGAGCACTCTCTACCAGCCCCTCTTACTCCACAGGCCTGTTTAACCTTCCTAAAGAGCTGGAGTCACCCCAGAAGCTTTAGGGGACTTTCTTGGCCTCAAAACCAAGTCAGGTCACCTCAGTCTGGCGTTCAAATGGATTGTCATCAAATGGATTCCAACTCATGGCGATCCCATGTGTCAGTAGAACTGTGCTCCATAGAGTTTTCAATGGCTGATTTTTGCAAACTAGATTGCCAGGACTTTCTTCAGGCACCACTGGGTAGACTCGAACCTCCAACCTATTGGTTAGCAGCTGAGAGTGAATTAACCGTTTGCACGACCCAGGGCACCCCACAACCAGGTCTTAACCCATCTCTCCAATTCTGTCTCCTGCTGCCCGGGCAGGCAACGTGAACTTCAGCCAGACTGACCACCCCTCGTCAACTCCCCAAAGAGCCCCAGGCAGACGTACTGGCCCTCAGTCCCTTTCGCCACCCTGGGGGTCCCTCCTCCTTGATGCCTGTGGGTCCTCTCAGCCCAGTCCCTCCCTCTGGGCACGCCTGCTGTGGCAGGTCATGCCTGGTGGGGCTTGTATCCCCCCCAAGCACTGCCTCACCTGGGTGTGACTGCCTTCTGTATTATCAGCAGACTCTAAACACCTGGAGAGTCAGGGCTGTGTCTTGTCACATTGTGTCCTCAGTAGCCCCTTGTGTACAGAGTAGTGCACAGTCGGTGCTCAGTAAACATTTAAGGGAATGGTCCTGCTGATAATTTAATCAGCCTTCCTACCACTCCCCTCTGCCCTTCCCTTTTGGGGACCTTGTGGGGTTGTCCTGTGAATGGGGACCATCGGAAACAGTTCTGTGTCAGCCTGATCTGCATGAGGTCACAGGAGGGGGTTCAGCTCTGGCTGCATCTTCCTGCGGGTTCCCTCATAGCTGGATGACTGTCCTGTGTGTGATCTGCCTTCCTGGGGTGGGGGTGAGGGCAGGCTCCTGTGGGTGCGGGCTCTGTGTGAGGTTTGTTTTCTCGCCGCATTACAATCACGTCACAACCGTGTTCAGAGTGGGCTGTGCGAGGCTGTTTTCTCTCTCCCCAGACATCGATGAGTGCTTAAGCTCCTCTTGCGAGGGCCACTGCGTGAACACAGAAGGCGGGTTTGTGTGTGAGTGCGGGCCAGGCATGCAGCTGTCTGCCGACCGCCACAGCTGCCAAGGTGAGCAGGCAGGATGCAGGGGAACTGCTGATGGGGCAGGAGGGTGATGACGATGCCACCACCTTCACTCCTGGCCGCTGACATTGAACACTCGGCCCTGCACCCAGCATGATGTGCTGTCCAGGCGTTATCGCGTTTCATTCCCATTTTACCGAGGAGGACACTGAGGCCCGTCCGAGGCCATTCTGTTAGTAAGTGGTGGAGCCAGGGTTTGAATCCCTAGAACCTGCTGCTGCTTTTGCAGGGTGGAGGGATGGGGGTAAAGGAAAGACAAGGAGTGGAGGGGGCCAGAGTAACTAGAGGAAGGAAAAAGCTGAGATAAGGGAGGCTGGGAGGGAATGGGGCAGTGAGCATGTCCAGAAGGGCTGTGGGAGGGCCATGTTGTGATGGAGTCATTGATGCACTGCATTCATTCCTCCCATCTGCCTGGGTGCTGTGCCAGGCTCCAGAGATACTTGAGGAGGAAGGGAACTTCCTGCCCTCTAGCCCTGTGGCGTCACTAGGGGTGTGCAGGGGTGGGTGGGTACAGACCGCACTGACGGGGTGACACCAAAGTGACTGTCTATAAAATTTTTGTGCAGTGTTTCAGCAGAAATTTATTGCTTTTTATAAAAATATCCCTGTCGTTAGTTATAACAACAAAAAAAAATTTTCATAAGCCCAGCTTACATGTATCAGTATACCTACAAGGCTAAAGCTGTATGCTGATTTACTTTTTGAACCTTTTAATGCTCTGTGGAAACCGTGGTGGTGGAGTGGTTAAGAGCTATGGCTGCTAACCAAAAGGTTGGCAGTTCAAATCCACCAGAAGCTCCTTGGAAACTCTCTGGGGCAGTTCTGCTCTGTCCTGTAGGTCACTGTGAGTCAGAGTTGACTCAGTGGCAGTGAGTTGGTTTTGGTTAATGTGCTGTGGTCAAAGCTGTCATTACTGAATTACAATGAAGCTTCGAATCACGGGTTTCCTCTGCACGCACTACAAGCACACACTGTTATTTTCTTTGCTGCTGGTGTTTTTATAGCCACCGATTTTGTCAAATTTTCTGGTGTTTTAGCTACAATATTGTGCTAATTAATATTTGTGAGCCTATATCAATAACTTTTTTGAGAGTGAAGTAATCATTAAAAGAAAAGAAGGAGAAAAATCAAAAGACTTCCACTCAGTTACTAATAAGGTAACTTAATATATAGTTCAGTGTAGTAAGATTTTACAAGATAATTTTGTTGTTAGTATACATATAAATTTAAGCAATTTACAGTTATATTTATCACATATTATTCTATGATTAAAATTGATAATAAACATTATTAAGGATTCTGTGTGGCCTGGTATGGGAGGAGGTCCCTGGTGGGAGATGACACCATGAGTTCCCTCTCTGGGTGACACCAACCCTAGTGATGTCACTGCTCCAGTGCCCCAGTCTGGTGAGGAGAGGAAGAACAGCAAGGTTTGGATGAGAGATAAGCATAGAGGGAACCCAGGGGAGAGAAGGGATCTTTCCTCCTCAGGGAGTAGGGTGAGAGAGTTCTTTTAAAATAATTACTCATCCTTAAATTTTTTTTTTTACACAAGTTATATTTGGAGATATTCTCACTTAAACAAGGCAGATGAGACCAAAGGTGCCCCTTGATACTGTTGTATTATATTCTATTTTTTCAATTTTTGTAAATTATTAAAAATTCATTTTTAAGTTGTGGAGATAGCTCTAGGCACCTTCTCCCATTCCCACCCTGTGCTCTCCCTGGAGAATAAACCTGGTTATCAGTCTGATCAGCACCCTTTCTGCCTTTCCCCACTAGGCATGTACATCACACATAGGCACTTTACAGAGATACAATAGTAAGAGAATGATAAGATACAGTAATAATAAAAGAACAAGCTAACAGTGACTGAACCCTTGTGTTCCAGGTACTGTGCTAGATACTTTATAAGTATTTTTCATTTACTCTTCAAAAATATCCTGTGATGTTGGTATTGTTTATCTCCGTTCCCCTGATAGGAACACTGAGGCTTAAAGAAATTAATTATCTTATCCAGGATCACGTTAGAGCTGAGGTTTGAACCCAGGAGCTCCTCTGCTTGTTTTTTTTTTTTTTTTCCACCTTGACAATATGTCTTGAAAATCTCACCATATCAGGGTGTCATGGATTGAATTGTGTTCCCCCAAAATATATGTCAACTCGGTTAGGCCATGATTCCCAGTATTGTGTGGTTGTCCTCCATTTTGTGATTGTAATTTTAGGTTAAAGAGGATTAGGGTGGGATTGTAACACCCTTACTAACATCATATCCCTGATCCAATGTAAAGGGAGTTTCCCTGGAGTGTGGCTTGCACCACCTTTTATCTTACAAGAGATAAAAGGAAAGGGAAGCGAGCAGAGAGGGTGGGACCTCATACCACCAAGTAAGCAGCGCTGGGAGCAGAGCGCATACTTTGGCCCCAGGGTTCCTGCAAGCGAAGCTCCTAGTCCAGGGGAAGATTGATGAGAAGGCCAAAAGAGAGAGCCTTCCCCTGGAGCTGACACCCTGAATTTGGACTTTTAGCCTACTTTCCTGTGAGGAAATAAATTCCTCTTTGTTAAAGCCATCCACTTGTGGTACTTCTGTTACAGCAGCACTGGATACCTAAGACGAGGGTATTAGATGCCTTTTTCTTTTTTTACTGCTGCGTGGTACTCTGCAGTGCAAATATTCTATAGTTTGCTAACTTTTCTATTATTGATGACCATGTAGATTTTTTACAGTTTTGCACAATTGTAAACGACGATGTGAGGAAAATTTTATAGAGAAAGTGCTATAGAAACTGAGTTTTGAGGTATGAATAGGAGTTTCCCAGCCGAACAACAGGGAATGGCATTCCAGGCAGACAGGAGAATATGGGCAAAGGGGGACGCCTCTGAGAGCATGGTGCTTTTGGAAGATGACAAGAATTTAAGCCAGAGCCAAGGTTGAAAGGTTAATTTAAGCCAGAGCCAAGAATTTAAGCCAGAGGGGCAGGGAAGAGGTGGAAGGGCAGTCTGGGGTCATGTTTAAAGGCCTTGTGAGCTATGGTACAATGTTGGTGCCTTATCCTAGGGCTGTGTGCAAAACATGGAGAGGTTTTGAGCAGGGAGTGGCCTGATTAGAGGTGCTCTTTGACCAGAACAGTCTGGAAGGAGTATGAGTAGAGGCAGGGAGACATGTGGGAGGCTCCAGACCAGAGACAAAGGTGGCCCAGGATGGAGAGAAGTGAGCTCATCCAGGGGGTATTTTAAGAGTTGGTAGTGCAACGATTAAGCACTCGGTTGCTAACAGAAATGTTGGCTGTTTGAACCCACCCAGCAGCTCTGTGGGGGAAAAGACCTGGCTATCTGCTCCCATAAAGATTACAGCCTAGAGAACTCTATGGGGCAGTTCTACTCTGTCATATAGGGTTGCTATGAGTTGGATCAACCTGACAGCATACAACAACAGATTGAATATGGGCAGTGAGGAAGAGAGGGGGTTAAGATGGCCCTCCATGGCCCCACCTGTGGTAGGAAATGGTGATCAGAGAGATAGAGGGGACCACATGTTCCCAAAACTGCATGGGGAACTGGGCTCCAGCCTTGTCCCTTTCCCTTCCAGACACTGACGAATGCCTAGGGACCCCCTGTCAGCAGAGGTGTAAAAACAGCATTGGCAGCTACAGGTGTTCCTGTAGAACTGGCTTCCATCTCCACGGCAACCGGCACTCCTGTGTAGGTAAGGCTCTGGGGAACCCTGTTGTCTTCAACTTAGGTTGCCAGTCAGGACCATGAGCGTGGTGAGGCCAGGTACAGGGAAAGGTCACCAAGCAGGACCTCCTGGTTGGGACCCTGCGGGGGCTTGAGCCCTTTGCTCAGAGCCTGCCTTTCCCCGGGGGTTGGCATGGCTCCTCGTGGAAGACCCCATCTTGGACTTTCCTGACCACATGCCCCTTTCATCCTGGTATTGTCTCTTCCACCCCTCTCCCAGATATACCCCAAGGATTCTTCTCTGCCCACCCATTTTCTTGGCTGCCTTTACTCCCATTGGTAAATAAAGCACGTTATGTCTTGGTTACTCTGGTTTAGAAGGAGACCCCTGTTTTCCCAGCCCATTAGCAGAAATTTCCAGAAAGGGAGTGGTGTGTTTGGCTTGAGCTTGGCTCATGGATTGAAGGTGGGGTCCCATGGGCCTGAAAAAAGACCTTGTTCCAGCAGAGTTAGGTGTTTGTTCTGAGGCCTGACTTGTGATGTTTGAGATACTTTTCCAAAAGCTAGATAGGTGAGACAGTGGAAGGTCTGGAGAGGAGATTCTCAGTGGGCTCTTCCCCACCAATCAGCACATAATCATTGCTGCATAGTACTGGGTGATGAGGGCAAGGCTCAGAGTCACAGGTGCAGCCATTAAATGCCCAGTGGATGTGGGAACCCTCCAAAGGGACTAGCACTAGATTTCAGCTCTAAGCCACATCGTCCACCCTGGGGCAGGAATAGGCCAAGGGATGGGAGGAAGAAGGGCTGGGCAGCCAGCAAAAGGTAGCATGGAGGTGTCTGCAGCGAAGCTCTCCTGCAGACGTAAACGAGTGTCGGCGGCCGCTGGAGAGGCGAGTCTGTCACCATTCCTGCCACAACACCGTGGGCAGCTTCCTGTGTACGTGCAAACCGGGCTTCAGGCTCCGAGCTGACCGCGTGTCCTGTGAAGGTGAGCACCAGGCCCCGCCCCCTGACTGTTCGCCCCAACCTCCCAGCACCAGGCTCGCTAGCCAATAGCCAGGCCCCGCCCCCTGACTGCAGACCCCGCCTCCACAGTATAGCCACTTCCTTCCCCACTCTTTCTGTTTTTCACAACTTATTTCCTCTCTCCCCACCCGGCAACATCTTACTTGTTATTTCTGATACTCTATTTTCTTCCTCTCTTTCTCCTTCCACTTCTTTATCTATTCATCTTCCCCTTCTTTGCTCTGTTTCCCCAGCCTTCTGTTTTCCCCCCAAATGGTAAAAGATTTTTTTAAAAAGCAAAACGTTAGAGGAGTGTGTGACATAGGACTCCCAGTAGCCTGGACTCCCAGGGACAGCCTCTTTGAACAGTGTGATGTCAGACCTCTCGTCCATATTTTAAAAGTGTAGCTATATGAGAATATAAAATGGTACAGCCACTATGTTTCCTCAAAAAGTTAAACATAGAATTGCCACATGACCCAGCAGTTCACCTCCTAGGTATATACCCAAAAGATTTGAAAGCAGGAGTGCAGACACGTACATGTACATCAGTATTCGTGGGAGCACTATTCACAGTAGCTAAAAGGTAGCAACTGCCTCCACAGATGAATGGGTAAACAAAAGTGTGCTATATACATACAATGGAGTATTATTCAACTATAAAGAAATATGAAGTTCTCATACATGCCTCACATGGATAAACCTTGAAAACATGCTAAGTGAAATAAGTAAAAAAAGGACAAATGTGATTCCACTTGTATGAAATATCTGGAATAGGCAAATGCAGTGAGACAAAAGTAGATTAGAGGTTACCAGGGCCTGGGAGGAGTGGGGAATGGAGAGTTAAAAAAAAAAAAAAAGTGTGGATATAAATATGCGTATCATGTCATATAGATCATGTAGGCAACTCTTCCATAAAACCTCTGTTTTTCACTTACCATGTCGTGGAGATGTTTCCATGTCAGCGTGGAGAAAGCTACCTCATTCTTTGTAATCCCTGATGACTTGCCCATCCCATGGGTCTCCCCGGATGTATTTAACTAACTCCTGTTGATGGTTGCGTCATCTGCATATCTCAGGCTGTTCATGAGACTTCCTCCAATCCTGATGCCCCGTTCTTCTTCATATAGTCCAGGTTCTTGGATTATTTACTCAGTGTACAGATTAAATAAATATGGCTAAAGGATACAACCTTGATGCACACCTTTCCTGATTTTAAACTATGCAGTATCCCGTTGCTCTGTCCGAACGACTGCCTCTTGGTCTGTGTACAGGTTCCACATGAGCACAATTAATTGTCCTGGAATTCCTGTTCTTCACAGTGTTACCCATAATTTGTTATGATCCACACAGCCAAATACCTTTGCATAGTAAATAAAGCACAGGTAGACATCTTTATGATATTCTCTGCTTTTCAGCCAACATCCATCTGACATCAGCAATGATATCCCTTATTCCATGTCCTCTTCTGAATCCGGCTTGAATTTCTGACAATTCCCTGTTGATGTACTGCTGCAACCATTTTTGAATTATCTTCAGCAAAATTTTACTTCCTTGTGATATTAATGATATTGTTCGATAATTTCCACATTCTGTTGGATCATCTTTGGAATGGACACAAATATGGATCTCTTCCAGTTGGTTGGCCAGGTAGCTGTCTTCCAAATTTCTTGGCATAGACAAGTGAGCGCTTCCAACATTGCATCTGTTTGTTGAACCATCTCAACTGGTATTCTGTCATTTCCTGGAGCCTTGTTTTTCGTCAATGCCTTCAGTGTAGCCTGAACTTCTTCCTTCAATACCATACGTTCTTGATCAAATGCTACCTCCTGAAATGGTTGAACGTTGACCAGATTCTTTTTGGTTCAGTGACTCTGTGTATTCCTTACATCTTGTTTTGATGCTTTCTGCATCACTCAATATTTTGCCCATAGAATCCTTCAATATTGCAACTTGAGGCTTGAATTTTTTCTTCAGTTCTTTCAGCTTGAGAAATACCAAGTGTGTTCTTCCCTCTTGGTTTTCTATCTCCAGATCTTTGCACATTTCATTATAATACTTTACTTTGGTCGAGTCACCCTTTGACATCTTCTGTTCAGCTCTTTTACTTCATCATTTCTTCCATTTGCTTTAGCGGCTCTGTGTTCAAGAACAAGTTTCAAAGTCTCTACTGACATCCATTTTGGTCTTTTCTTTCTTTCCTGTCTTTAATGACCTTTTCCTTTCTTCTTGTATGATGTCCTTGATGTCATCCCACAACTAGTCTCGTCTTCAGTCCTTGGTGTTCCATGTGTCAAACCTATTCTTGAGATTGTCTCTAAATTCAGGTGGGATATATTCAAGGTTGTACTTTGGCTCTCGTGGACTTGTTCTAATTTTCTTCACCTTCAACTTGAACTTGCATATGAGCAGTTGATGGTCTGTTCCATAGTTGGCCCCTGGCCTTGCTCTGACTAACGATATTGAGCTTCTCCATCATCTCTTTCCACAGATGTAGTTAATTTGATTCCTGTATATTCCATCTAGTGAGGTCCACATGTGTAGTCACTGTTTATGTTGTTGAAAAAAAGTATTTGCACTGAGTCCGTTGCAATGAATAGGTTGTTGGTCTTGTAAAATTCTATCATGCGATCTCCAGCATCATTTCTATCACCAAGGCCATATTTTCCAACTACTGATCTTTCTAACAGTAACAACTGTTGATGCTCGTTGCACTGCCTGTCTTCATTTCTGTCTCTTAGCCCCAGCCTTTCTCACCTGTCTCACTCCAATTTATGAATCTCTCCCTTTCCCTTCTCTCACCCCCACCAACATCTGCCTCCTTCTCATCTCCTTTTGTGGTTATTGGTTGCTGTCGAGTCAATTCCGACTCATGGCGACCCCATGTATTACAAAGTAGAATGCTCCATAGTGTGTTCAAGGCTGTGACCTTTAGTAAGCAGATTGCCAGGCCCTGTCTTCCCTGGTACTGCTGGGTGGGTTCGAACCACCAACCTTTATGTTAGCAGTTGAGTGCAAACCGTTTGTGCCACCCAGGGACCTTTTATCTCCTGTTAGGTTTCTGATTCTCCCTCTCTATTTTTCAGACCATTTGGCCATAGGTGATATCCCTCAAAAGGAACCTTTCCTTTTCTGAAGATCCTTTTTTAGCTACATCTGTCCATCCATTCATTCATTGAGTGTGTTTTTCTAAATCCAGGTTTCCATCTGGAGGGAAAAAATGCCCTTTCCTACTCCTGCGCGTGTGTGTGTGTTTGTGTGTCTGAGTGTGAGGGGATGGGCATCCTCTTGGAAGCTGGCCTGTCTGCCGTGGGACTGGAGAGTCCCTGGGCCGTTCCTTCTTGAGCCTCAGCATCCAGGGAAGCCACATCTGAGTGGCAGAGCAGGGGACACACTTCCACCCTTTTAGGCATAGGAGTCGGGGGTGGTTCAGTCCCAGGATGAATCTCTGAGAGGGTAGAGAGGTCTGTCTAGCTCAGGAAAACTTGTATCTCCCTTGTGGCCTGCAAGGAAGGTCAGAAAGAAGAATCTGATTTTGCAGCATTTGAAGCCACCATCAGCATCATCACCCGTGGCTCCTCCTGCTCATTTGCTACTTTTCTGTCAGTCTTCTCATGGGATTGTCACTGTAGCCCCAGTGGTTTGGGTCCAGACTGGTACTATTAGACTCATTATGTGGGTGAAGAAACTGGCCCAGAGATATTTGAGAATCGTGGTGTGGAGCTGAGTGTAGGTCCTCCCGAATCACACCTCTGCCCCACCGCCACCCTCTAGAGACCCCTGTGCTTCCGTTTCAGCTTTCCCGAAAGCCGTGCTGGCGCCATCCGCCATCCTGCAGCCCCTGCAGCACCCCCCTAAGATGCTACTGCTGCTGCCCGAGGCTGGCCGACCTGCCCTCTCCCCAGGACACAGCCCTCCTCCTGGGGCACCGGGGCCCCCAACAGGAGTCAGGACCACCTGCCTGCCGCCTCCCACCCCGGCACTACCCACATCCTCCCCTCCTGTCCCGATGTGGCCACTCTCTACCACCATGGCCACGCCTATGCCCAGTGCCTCCCTCCTCCAGGGGGAAGGTGTGGTGACCCCTTCCCCACCCCAGGGCTCCGAGGCTGACACGCAGCTGGCTGTGGAGCCGTCTCCCTGCTGGCACCAGGGAGGCATGCATGAGCCAGGGAGCCGCTGGACACAGCCTGGGTGTACCCAGTGCTCATGTGAGGTGGGTGTGAGGGACCTTGGGGCTGCCCTGGTCTGGTGCCTGGGGCATTGTGGTGGCCCTAATTCCTGCTTCTGCTCCCAGGACGGGGAGGTTACCTGTGGAAAGGTGACATGTGACACTGTCTGTTCCCACCCGATTCCTGCCAGAGATGGGGGGTGCTGCCCAGCATGCACAGGTGAGAGCTGGTGCCAGGGAAGGCTGTCCTGCCCTGCGTGAGGCCCCCCAGCTCTGCCGAGTTCCCTTCCCACAGCCCTTCTGCAGCCCAGAGGCGTTAGCAAACTCGAGAGTTCCTCAGGATCACCTGGAGGGCTTGTTAGACCACAGCTGGCTGGGCTTCGCCCCCCAGGCTTTCTGATTCAGCAAGTCTAGGGTGGCCTGAGAATTTGCATTTCTAACAAGTTTCCACTTGATGCTGATGATGCTAGCTGGGGAGACCACCCTTTGGGAATCACTGGTCTATGCTG